ATCCCTCATGCACTTTCCATAGGAACCCATTGGGCGCAATACCCTGGAATCAGGGGAGGACGCTCCTTGCGTTTCGCATCGGAACTCCCAGTTCTTGTGTGTGCGAATTTGCACTCTTGTCCGCGCGAACAGTATCCACGCGCGAAGTCCCTGCACGCATCAATCGCAGGAGCACCGGGCGACGTAGATCTGGGCCTCCTTGGGGGTTCACCCCTAGGGCTAGGCGTACGCCGCTTGTCCTGCTCCCGATTCCTGGGAGAGTACTTGTCCCTTCGATGAGGACTTGGGGTATTACCGGTCCTCTTCCTTGGATCACTAGGAGGCCGATTAGGCCTATGGGAATCTCCAAACGGAGATCGTCTCCTGACGGGAGGACCAGGAGCACCAGGTTTCTGGGCTCTGTCCCTGGACTGAGATCGTTCGTAAAAGTCTTTGTGCATATTGACCTGATTCTTACGAACCCTCCAGCGGTCAATTTCGTTCTTACAACGAGCACGAAGCCATTCATAGCTACAAACATCAGGGTTGGATATGTTCCTATCCCATTCCCTGATATCATGAGCCAAACAGTTGAGGTGTCTAACCTTCTCACTGAATAGCGACCGCTTTACCTGCTCGGTCAGCGGTTCATCGAGACCCGCAAGGATGTGATCCCACTTCGCGATGAACCTTTCAAGTCGCTCCTCTTCAGTATAGAAAGATGAAACACTGCATCGCAAGTTTGAGAGCTCAATTATCCTGAATGATTGCTCTCCGATATTTGCAGTCCTTAAGTGGTCGTATAAGAGCCACAGGATCTGCCTACTCTTGATGCGATTGTTGGAGCGTTGAGCGGCTTCGGTGAGACGATTAATCTTATCGATAATTGCAACAGTCTTGATGCACTTCCGAATGGCTGCATTGAACCTGGCTTCAAGGATGTGGTATTTACATTCCCCATCCAGTTCATCAAAGGTCTTTGCCTTCTCGACTTCAGTTAGCCAATTGATGACGTAAAGTCCATCATAGCTGTAGGCATTGCTAACAGCTTCCTTCATATTGGCTATCCATACCCTCAGCCCAGCCGCGTCGGGCTCTGGCGGGAGGTCTATGGGAATGCACTTAGTCGCAGCTGTACAGTTCGGATCATGGTGGCTACTGTATCCACCGCCACCAGTTCCGAAAAGATGCTGTGGAACCTGAGAACTACTGATTGACAGTGCACATACAGGACAAAGGCGAGTAGCCTTCGGAATGCAAATCTCACATGCCTTTTTCATGCATATCTTACATTCCCCAATTTTGCTGGGGTCAGGAATATCCCGATCACACATCCGACAGTTCTTGTCAGGAGGATCGGGGCCACGCATGGTCGGCGGCTCAAGGCCTGAAGGATCCTTCGGCCTTGTACCGTTGGGATCAAATCCTGGATAATATCCGGTTTCACGTTTATCCAGGGGCACGGGTTGCGTAGCCTTCGGAGGGGCTCTGAAGGTCAGCCGCGTTGGGTTGACCCCCAGTGGGAATGTCACGGAATCTGTCAACGGGTGGCCGCAGAGGCGGCGAGTACGACCGCGTCGGGTTCGTCTCAGGTGCGCCTCCAGGAGATCTATTCCTGACACGGTTACCATCGGGATCCCTTCTTCTCCTAGTTTCGTCCCTAAGGCACGCAAGACAACAGGGACCCTGGACAAATCCAAATCTCCTGTAGTCATCCTGCCCAGCAGAATGTCTGGTGCAGTAGTAGGTCCTACAAAACTGACACTCAATTCCCTTGGTCAGGAACGAGCTCTCCCTACAGACACCGCATCGGGGTCCGTTACGGGAACATTCTTCACACAAGTTCTCTTTGAACGAGAAACAATACTCACAAATATCACCTCTGCATCCTTTGCAGTGAAACTCAGCCATGAGGTGATTATTTCCATCACCTACGTATTTACACCTGGGTTTACCAGGGTCGCCAGGGTTCCCACCGGCAGCACTCTTCTTCCCCCCTCCTCCTGGGCTTTGCCGATCTGGAGGAGGAGGTGGTGGAGGATCATCATCAGGAGGGCCAGGTGGAGGTGGCCGCTTATCCGGAGTACGGGACGCGGCACGCCTTCCTCCTGTGCGATCGTTCAATCCACTACTTGATGCCTGGTTCGAGTGCCTTGACTCGAGGGAGTTAATTCTCTGGGCCGTATTACCCAGCACCTCGAGCATTTGCTCGAGCTTACTGTTGAGCGTAGTCGAAACGGCCATGTTATGAGTATTTTGCTTGTCCGTGTAGGATTTGCAGTCCCTTGACTTTATCTCAAGGTTGGCTTGTGTCTCATAAAGTTGGTCTTTAACCCACTTTATGCCGTCCCTATTATTGGTCCAGCATTGTTCGACATCTTGCATCATCCTATCAATCTGACATACCCTAGTGGACAGGTCCTCGATTTTGAGGTTTACTCCACCAATCGCAGGATGGTTGGATTGGCTCTCCACTAGAGATCTCTCGATCGCATCAACACGAGCTATAAGCCCGGTTACTCGATCAGAAAGAGATTCAAAAACAGTTTGAACTTGGGTGATGGAGCGAGCAACATCATCATAGCTGGCCCGCTCATTTAGGGCATCGCCTATGCTTGTCATGCGATTGGAAACGATCTTGACGCGTTGGCCAAGCTCGGTCACGATGTCCTTAGTCCCTTGTGACAGCTGCATGGCCGCGTTCGCAGCCTGCGTACACGTGCTACTCACATGGACGCATTGGTCGTATTTGGCCCTCCACGAGTTAACCTCAGTGGAGAGCTGCTTGATGCATTGATCACTTCTATCATTCCTACGCCCAAGGTTTTCGACCTTATCAACCAGGCGATGAATGATCGCACTTACCGAAGAGTCCACTCTCCCTCTTTCAAGGGCTGTTACAAGATCAGCAACCTCGTTGGGTTGCTCCTCACTCGCAGGACCAAATCCTGATCCGCGATCTCGAGGAGTGGACAAATCAACCATGATCGGATTAGATCTCGGAGGTGTCCTGAAATCATCTTGTACAGCCGTTGATGGCCGTGGGAATTCGCTCCGATTCGGAGATTGACTCTGATACGGTGCAGATCTTCTGGCATCACGAACCGCTGATGGCTGTGGCATGCCTAGACCCTTTGTCACAAACAATTTGGGAACTACCGGCCTATCAGTCCGCATAGGAACTTCAGGCTTCATATCGGCAATGACAACGTCATGCAAATCAGTCGCATTGGACGCTCTAGACTCAGACATTGATTCAACATCGGTGGCGCTGCTGACGGTGTTGTTGTGATTGGAACTTGATGCCATCATGGACTCAGACTCAATCGGAACATCAGCTCCGTCTGTGTTGCCAATGGCGAGAAAGGAAGCCGCATTGGGCGTAGGGCGAACAGGTTGTACATTCGGGCCACTCGACCTATTGAATTCCTCCTGGAATGCTTCGATCCCATCAAGCACGTTAATCAACGTGTCCGCGTTTAGCGGATCCCTACCGACAATCGACGCGGGATCGCCTGAGTGACCACGTCTTGAGCCCCGCACACTGGGGTTTCCCCTGTGCGCGGTCTCTCGATCCATCCTTCTAGCCCTACGCGAGCTGGCCGAGTCTGACCTAGACCGTTTGCTCGGCGTAGGACTGGGATGCAAATCCAACCTATCTACAATGTTTCGCTCCCTTGGACTGGGGGAGGGGACATATTCCTCATTGTCGGGTTTACCGATGGCCTTGGCCTGACATTGCGGCTGGCCACATCAGGATTGAGATTTTCAATGGACAAGGGTAGCATGAATTCCTCGCTTCCAGCAGTCCGCTTTGGGCTCTGAAACTGCGGGAAAGATGATGGGGCGGGTGGCCCTGGCATCCATGTATTGAAATCCATGCCAAAAATATTACCGTCGTTGGGCCATGAGGCCATCCAATCTGACCTACCGATATCGGCTGGCAGATGAACATCAAATGCAACTCCACTGGATGTGCCGGGTTCGGGATTACCGAGCGCTTGAAAAACTATACTACTGGTTGGCACAGGTCTACTGCTACTTCGAGAGTCACGAAACTCGGACTGACCAATATTCATCAGCTCCGGGAAAGATGAGGATTGAGCTCCAGGTGCAATACCGGGCTCGTCATCATCACGTCCTGAGACGGAATCATTATGGTCAGGACGATTAGCCCCATGACCCCGAGAGCGATTAGCTCTTGAGGCATTAGACGATAGGTCATCAGTGCGAGTAGCACTGGACCTTCCTGAAGGCATTGCTTCGGAAAAGGTGTGGTCCGACAAAAAATCAGGACCGGAAAACATCGGCTGTCCGGGCACCTGGTCGTCATTCACAACGTCCAAGATTCCGGCCTGGCCGAGAACCCATTCATCAGTCACCACGTGAGGTCCATCCTCAGTGATTCCTGCCATCGTATATACAATAACCTGCAACACCTGCAGGGTTGTTAAAAAGGGGTTCGCGGTGCCAACCGAGGACGAATCCTACGGCTGATAACCTGCGAAAGGGTTTGAAACAGAGTTTCGGGATGGCTAACCCACCAACAAGAAGAGACCACCTTATCCCCCCGGTCCCAAGGGCAAAGCAGTTGCCCCCGGCCGGCACAAACACAAACCAAAAGGGGTGCCTCGTTTGTAACAAGAAGGAACCAAGCAGCAGCGCAGCAGAGCGCAGGGCAAGCAAGCAAACCAGCGGCAAGCAGCACCAAGCGAGCAGAGCGAGCAATAGCAGCGCACTCCAACCAAAACCCGACCCACCTCCGGGACCAAGACCACCGCACCAGGGACAGCGGCCGCGCGAACACGAGGCCGATGTCGAGGCGCGCCGCGGCTCTTTCCGACGAGATGGCGAGCGAGGTTGCCGAGTGAAAAGCTTGAGCCAAATGGCGCATTGGCCAAATGCAGGAAATGAAATACTCTATGATAAAAGTACATGCCCCCAAAAACACTTTTTTGACACACGCCCCAGTGCTGATTTGGAAAATAGCTCATGTAAGCGCGACGTGCATAGGCTCCGGCCTTGATGACGGAATAGCCAGACACCTTGGTGCATAATTCGCACTCCAACAAATTGATCGGCTCCCGGTCAAACCATAGCCATTTCGGCCAATGGCTTGCTTCTGCGAACCCAACGCACAAATGCATCCGAGGCTCGTCAGCGCTGCCCCAATATCAAGCAGAACGACGAGAGTGCTTACCTTTGAAAGCCCCGAGGAACTCAAAACAGTGGGCTGAGACATTTTGCTAAAGCCAGGAAGCCTCTACGTAGAACGCTCCCAGGGCAAAAGCCCAACGACTGAGCCCGCACCTCCCGGAAAGAGGGCATCTGAGTTGCCGGCCAACTTCTGCAGCATAGCTTCCCACTCCTCCAGCGGGTGCTTCTCCGTGAGAGGCGCATACCTCGGCAAAACAGGCCGCAAACAGGCTCAGCGGCTGCAATCCAGCAGTGTTGCCTCTCTTCCTGCTCTGTTTCACTCGTTTTCATTCAAGGCCTCTCTCAGCCGGTCCAAAAACTCTTGCTGGGCTTTTCTGATTCCTTCGTGCCGGAATGCTAGAGCCTGCGTCAAAGAACCCCCAGGCGTCCCGGCAAGACCGAGATGCTCATGAGGCTTGCAGGGTTTATGCATCATTTCAACGCCTATACACTTCCATTTGCTTAAGCCCCTGGAAAAATACAACATCTAATTCCAGTAGTGATAGATTCCCTTTTAAAACAGCAAGCCAAAGTAAAACATATTCTTCAGCAAATGGTTGTACAGCAATTTGGAACACCGGCATCCACTTGGCCATATGGATTCATCTGGGCGCCGGACAGCATGTTCTGCGGACCCTGGGCGTGGGCAAACCAACTCTCAAAAGCAGATGCCAGTCGCCTTCAGGTCACCCGGCTTCGGTGGCAACATGAGCAGCTTACCCAAAGTGCATCTTTGGGGGCCTGTGCCAAACGAAGCACGAACAAAAGGTTTACAGCTCAGCTTTGGCCACTTTCTCGCAGGCTGCGTCACATGTTTGGGGGAAGTGTGCCGCGTACGGGGCTTTCGGAGGGCTTTCCTACAGATGCCCCGTGAAACGTGGCCTTTGCCAAGTTCAGCGGCGTTCGGATGGCACCAACATTTGCTCAGTCAAGGCCGATTGCATGCATATTTTCCTGTGAAACCCAAAACACCTCGTCATCTGAGCAATGTTTTGGGGCCTTCCGCCTTTTTGGGGTTCCATGGGTGAAGTTGCTGGTTGCAAAAGGGAGTTTCCTAGGATCGCTCTCATCTCACTTCGGTCTGGGCGTCCCAGCGCCATCCCGGTTCTGCACCTGCACCATCCTTGCAATGCATCTGCTGCACATGGACGATTCAGCCCCCCACCCCCCCCCCGCAAAACAGCAGACACGAACATGGGGGGAGAAAAAGCAGACCCTCCCTCAGATTCAGATGGACCCGCCCAAACAAATGCGGCATGTTCGCGCAGTTTAGGGGAATCTCCTTTTGCCAACAAGGAGGTCCAAATCCGCCGACCCTGGTCCAGAATGGATCATGCTTTTGGCATGGGGGCGGTGTGCTCTGTGTTGCTTTTGTTGATAACTATGTATATATATATATATATATGTATCTATAGATATATATGTATATATATATATATATTATATATATATGTATATATTATACATATATATATATATATATGTCCTTTGGGGCGGGAAAATACGTCGGCTGGCTTTCTGGATCTCTGGATGTCTGTCCCCTCCCCCCCCTCCCCCTCCCAAGCATGTCTGTCTGTGTCTGTCTACGTATCTGCGTCTGTCTTCGTGTCTGCGAACGTGTCTGTGCACGCGTGCTTTCTCTCGCCCCGGGCCGAAATTCTAAGCCCTATGGGGGCGGCGGAACCAGGCCGCAGGCCATCAAATCAATCTGCGTCGGAGACAGTCAGCAGGACCTCCATGTATCGTTCTTTGAGTACGAACGCACCAACCTGGTGCCTTCAGCCCCTTGCCCGGCAAGAACAAACTTGACTCGTGGCCCTTGATTGGCAGGCTTCCAGCCACGTTGAATGCCGGGGATTGATGTCCAAGCATTGAGGGGGTTCATTCAAGTTCGCCAAGAGTGAACTCAGGGCCAGGGCCCCCCGGCAGCAAGGAGCCAGGCCCGTTCCCCCGCGGGATGACCACGTGGATCAGCTCCCCAGCTGAAGGCAGCGAATGCTTGGGGGGTTGGGAGTAGCAAGATTAGCTTACTATCAAAGTCATCATCCAAGTGGCAGGTTAAAGGGAAACCAGCAACCAGTTTCCGACTTTGATCACCCCCAGAAACAGTCAAAATAGTGACCCCAGTCAAAACAGGGGTCTTAGGGAAGCACCAATTGAAGGTAAGGGAAACTGGAAGGCAACAAACCTCCCGAAACAAAAGGGCAACCCTATTTTGTTGCCAAACACCCAAACTAGGCAACCCTATTGAGTCAGAATCAAAGCCGGGCAAAGGTCTACCCCAAGTCCATGTAAACAATCAGGGCGTCCACACTTATGGCTCTCGCCTTTCCTCAAGCTATTCCTGCGTTGATTGTGGCTCATGCTTTTGACAGGGACACCAACACTTCTTTCCCTGGGTGAATTCGAGGTGCATTTCAACCGTTTCAACCGTTTAGGGTTCACAAGGACGATTCCTTCAGAAGCCAAAGGTCGCTTGCCAGTTATTCTGGGATACAAGAAGAGCCAACCGGAAATCCCAAACCACACCAACTTGAAGTTGTACCAAATGCGAAGCAAGATCACCAAAAAAGCCGCGACCACCAAAGCCACGAGTCACCAAAAAGAACCTCGGGGAAACGGAAACGATGCACAAATCATCAACGAACAAAGAGCCAAGTTGTTACCTTGGCTGCGGCAGGCTTGTCCAAATGGGTTTGTCTCAAACAATTTGCAGAACCAACATTGCCGGCTTTCCTTACGGCCTGCTAACAGGTTCCTGAAACATCCAAAAGCCACCTGCTTTTCCAGAGATCCATGTAAATCTGCTGGTCAAGATGTTTGTTGGCCCAAATGTATCGGCAAATCTTGGAATCACTGCAAAACCTGAATGAATTAGATCCCCAAAGCAGAGCTCATTGTAGATACCCCTGAATTTGTTTCTCTCGAAACCTATAACGAGAGATCAGCGCCGGCCAACTTTTCACCAAGTGCCCGACAAGGCGCGACCACCTCCAGAGTGTCGCCCTCAGTGCAGCCTGAGTTGCGTGAAGGTACAGAGACCATACCAAAGGGCTGGTGAAAAGAGGGAAAGAAGGAAAGCCAGACTTTCCGAATTCCGTACTTTTCATGTGCAACTTACCCATGTACTTAAGCCTGTCATGTGGGCTGATTCCCCTTATACCAGTGCGTGGACCCTTCAAAACAGAAGGGCTGTCAAAACCACCGCTCCATCCACCAAATCATCTCCGTGGAAAGAAGAGGAACAAATCCTGGAACACCGGTAGGAGTTGATGCGTTGTAAACACAAAGAAACGCAGGCCGATTTTCTACGGGCCCCATTTTGTCAAAGTCACTCATGTGGTGGGTTAACGGGAAGCACGTCAGTTTCTGACTTTGACCCTCAACAGTTAACCTAAGGACCCCAGTGCTGCCCTTGAGGTTACAACCAACACATCCAATGCCCCCGAGGCAGAAACCTTCTGGCACCCGGACCTTGCGGGGCCGTGGGAAGCAACCAAAACGCACGTCACGAAGCTCTATAGGCACCTCCGAATCTCCCCAAATCCAAGGGCGAAACTTGGGGAGCAAATGAGGACTCTTGCAAAATTGTAGTCCGCGTGATCCATGTGGCGCAACCGCAGTGCTTCATGTTGCATCACGCCTTGATCTGCATCTTGCCCGAGACCTCGCAGCGCCTCGATGGAAACACGACAAAATCCGCCGAGCACTCATACCCTTTTGCCGGCAGGGACAAATCGACTTCGACACTTTTCTGTGACTCCTGCTACACTTGGAACGAGGGTAGTCCAAACCTCACCAACCACGTGTAAAACGCCCTTTGATTCTGGTCCTGGGACCCCGGCTGCACCTCTTCCTCGGCCCAGCCATCCTCATCCTGCCAAAGCTGTCACAGTCTCGCCGATTTGCCCTTAGCTCTAAGGCCATGCCTTTCTAAAACTTGCTCAAGTGTGTCTTTCTTCTGCGGCCCTTTGTGCGGTTGGTTTAAAGAGGAAACCAGAAGGAAACCAGCTGCACATCCAGGTATTGCCCTGCCTCCTCCGCATCTCGCTCTCTCCCCCAAGTGCCAGCCTCTACTTCCGCTGCCAATCTCTCCTCCTGCAGCCAAGTGAGCCCAAAAAAATGACAACAGACGGCGATCCTTATCCCAACATGTTTCCATCGAGCTAAGCAGGCTTCAAAACGACTGCAGGCCCAAACCATACTACACCGAGCTTCTCCGATAGGCCCACGGGCTCAATCTGCACACCCCGCTTCTGGGTGGTTTCAAGGGAAACGGCCAGCCGGCCGTGGGAGTCTCTCCATGCTTTCTGGGGCAATAGGCTATGTCCAAAACAGGCGGGTCATTTTCTGGCCGGTGTTTGTCAGGAAACCGCCAGAAAGCTATTCTCCTTTTCAGAAGAGCTGTTCAATGACGCATTCGTGCTTCGGGCCTGCAAACTGAAATGGAAACCCTTAGCGCACTTGATGAAGGAATACTTCGAAGAATTCCCTCACGGGCTCAATGTGGCTGCGGGTCAAAATAGGCACCCCAAACTGGAGCCCTGGTAAATGAACAAGGACTAAAACCTGCGGTCCCCGGGTGGGTTAATTTGGGATCCATACCAACGTGACTTTCTGGGAGAACCTACCCTGACTTCCCACGGAAACATGAAACCCGCTCCTCTCTCGCCGCCGCCACCTCCATAGCCGCAGCCAAGAGGTCGGGCCTGGAGCTGACCCCAGCGGTCCCCTTCTTTGATTTTGTTCCAACTTGGGCATGCGCTCATGTCCCAAGCAAGACACCGACAAAAGGGTAGGAAGGAGTGGCTTAAGAGCTATGGCCTGGCGCCCCATCTTGTAATGCTCACACACTTTTGCTGAGTCATGATTTGCTCGTTGTGCGCCGATGATCACGGTGCTGTTGAAAACAAAGAACAACAGAATCTGGGCTGTCCTCAGATCCCCTAAAAGTTTAAATCGTGGGTTAAACGGACCCCCCCAAACCAACTAAACACCTAAAACCTAACTTGTGGGTGAAATGGACCCCCCTCCCCCCGAAACCAGAAAAACCACCTAACAACATCTAAGGAGCAGGATGACACTTTGCACCGAGTCCCTTCCGCTACACTGGCCGTCCAAAACCGATATCCTCTCCGGCGATCTCCCGCCTGGGCCCAGGTTCGGCAGATGGCTTAAAGCCAATCTCCTGCACGAAACCACCAAAGTTTGGACACACCAAACCAACAGGTAGGCGCACAATATGACTATTTCTTAAAATGGTGCTGGGTAATGAAAGGGAAACCCGTATTTTAGGGGACCCAACACCAAGGGCGGAGTTTAGAAGCTCTCCTTGAGAGAAAAACAACAACATGCCTCACAGTTGTCAAGGCCACAGTTTCAAGTCTTGCTGGTTCTGAATTGACAGGAGTTTTGCGAATGAAACATAAGGATCCACTTAAAGGAACCAACAGGGGATGGTTTTTATCTGGTCACTCCCTCGCTGCTAGGTGGCAGTTCCTGCCAGGGCTACTAGGGGGAGCTCTCATGGCTCACCTCCTCTCGCTGCAGCTGCGCGGCGATAGCAGCGTCGTCCTTGCATCTGGGATTTCGTTCTAATCTTGGCCAACAATTGAAAATTTGGGGTACATAGATACTATGTGCCGACTCTTTCATATTTAGTCTGCCCCTAAGATATAAAATACTTTTGGAGCTTCACCCGCTTTTGGTCGCTTCCAAAACCATGCCACGCACCCTGGGAGTTGTGGCCACACAACGCCCCCCTTCAAGCACACTGATGACAGACACACTCAAGCACCTTGCTTGGCCAGGTTGTATTTGTTTGCACCTGTATTTTCACACATTTCTGCTGGCAATAACCGATTCCACGTTTTGTTGCAGTTCTTCTTTGCGAAAAGAAGCAGTAAGCACCACGCAAAGGGCAACCAGAAACACGAAGCGAACAGCATCTACATCAACCATGAAACATCTGACCCAACCAACCACCCCACCAACCCCAAGACAAAAAAAGAAGAAGCCGAAAACAGCGGCCTGTTTAATGGTGCCACACCATTTCCCCTTGGCATGTGGGCAAAAAAGGAATCCCCTTAGGTGGGGGAACTGCTCTCTCTTTGGTTTCAAAGGCTGGTTACGCTCATATTGAAACGGCACCCGAGCATTGGATTTGTCAATGGAACCCCTATGAGATGGTTTCCATTTGTCAAGTAGCGCATGTTGCGCCATCTTAGAAACCATCGTCCAAAGAAACGGCGCATTTTGCAGGACACGGGACATTGAGAAAGGACCTCCGGGCTTACTCCATGTGGCTGGTAGAAATAGGTACCCCAAATGGAACTGGTAAGTGGACGCGTGGACTAAAACCCGCGGTCCCCTGGTGGTTTAATTTTGACCCATACCCATGTTTCCCCGTCCGGAAACAGGTGTCCAGTCCTGGGTGCCTTGCAACAGCTCTTCCTGCAGGCGCATGGCAAGGACCTGCCGTGCAGCTTTCGACCCGACAAAATCGGTGGGGTGAAATTCCTACAACTGGTGCGGCAAAAAGGGGGTCCCGCTCTTTAGATTCCTCTGTCTCTCTTCTTGAATGGATTCTCAAGGAGTGAGCCGTTCACTTTGATCCCAGAGGAGAGCACGACTCAACCGGAGCCTCATCATCGCGTGGCTCGGGTGCGGCCTGGGCGAACAACACCGCTGTTTGGCGGTGAGAATAAGAGGTTATAATTTCCCTACAGTAGTAGGAGCGGAACCTCTATGAAAGAAGCTTTCCAGATTGACCTTACGTCACTCTGGATTCACTTTGAAGGAGTCTGTGGTTTTACTTGCTCGAACAGATTGTTAAACCGTCCGCGCTCCTCACAAGACTTGCCTGAATCAATGGCCCCACGTACCGCCTGCAAACAGAAGAACGCTGGAAGTGCAAGGCAATGAAGCACAAGCGAACACAATCAACTAGCAAAGCAAGCGTGCAAATCCATCTTGATGCCTGTGCATGGTGCCGCTTGAGCTCTTGCAGTCGGTGTCTTAGACAATTTTGTACATGCCCTCATATGCCCTCATCCGACAAGGGACACATTTTCCCATTTTTAGGATCCGCCCACTCTGTCCCCGATGCCAATCCAAGGCTGCGGGCAGAAGGCCCAGACTTCAAGTGCTTGTGAAGCCTTGGTCGCTTGGCCCATACGATTTCTGCGCTCTCCGATAGTGTTTATGTGAGACATACGACGTAAGATAACTATGCAAATCTATCTCTATGGGTATATACATATAGCTCCGGGAGCAATGCAGGAGTATGCGAATGCATCCCCCTTATCCCTTTCTTGTGAGCAAACATGTTGCACAAAACATATCATTGTTATAACAGTCATAGCACAGTCAGTGATCACTTTATTGCTAGACACATCCTTGAGATAATATAGGTGCTCTCGAATCACCCTCAGTCACTTCACAGAACCTCCATGTACCATGGAGCCTGCCTCAAATCAAGAGCCAAGACAATGGATGCTCGTCCTTGCAACCTCCAAGGACTTTTCAAACCTCCGGATAGCTTCACACGGCCTCCGGCTCCAGTTGCACCCTTGAAGCCATGGGCGCGGTTTCTTCGCCATCGAACAGGTTTGCCTCTTGGCAACGAAGCTGAGTGCCATGCAGGTCCATGTCTCGGTCGAATCTCTCCGGCCTTGGAGCTCCAAAACGTAAAATGGCCTAGACACATGGGAATTCCTAGTTCGTCAGTAGTTGGTGCTCTCATTGATGTTGGCTGGATTCGGGGGATGTTTACAACAAGTGCAAAGCGCGAGCTATGCGAGCACATGGGTCAACCCGTGCCTTGCTCATCTTTCGCACGATATCGCACGATGCTTCAGCGTGTCCAAGGTCGGGTTGTGGGAAGCGTACAACAAGGTGAAAACTCGTGACATTCAATCATCCATTGTTTTCCAATGAAACAGCCTCGCGAGCAGTCGCGGACCAGCTGAACCCCTGGAAAGTGTCACCAGCTTCATTGTGGATGCTTCCCTTTGAGTGGAGCCGCGGAAACAAACGCGACCTCCCAATTCGGGATGGAAAGGACACGTCTCTAGGTGTTCGGGCGTCACTTCCTTCTTCTGAGTCTCCTCGGCGCTGTCCTGATTCGGACGCCGGGGATTTGCACGACTGAACCCTGCTCAGAGGACCTTGAAGAAGAAGGTTCAGTGGAACTGAAATTGACAGGCCTCGTTTCCTATCAGCCATTCAATCAAGGGAGTCTTTCTGGAAGACTACTGCTAGCAGTTGCCATGACAACAAGCAGAAAATAAGATATTTGTCGGCACCTAAGGACTAATCGCAGCTGACAAGTGGACAGTGTGTGTCTGTGTGGGTGTGTGCTCGGGCAGCAACAATAGTGTACGAAAGAGATACCTCTGCTCCATTCCTGACACAACTTTGCGTGCGGCCTACGCAGAGTATCTGCTACAAATTCAAAGACTGCATTCCACACTTTTGCAGTTTGTGCCGTCAAGCAATCAATCACCTTCAGCTTGCACCTGTCCTCGCCGCTATCCGCTGCAGGATCCTGGGGGTCATTGGTCACGCCGCCAAGTCATGATTGTGCTTAAACTTTGCGAGTAACAAGCATGAACTGGCTGCACATTGAAAACACGTGTCTGCAATGCGAATATGACTCTTGATTCTGAGGCCAGCTTGCCATGATTCAAGCAACTCGTTGTGCCCAGCAACCAAACGACCATAGATGGATCTATCCCGTCTTTTTTGTCCCAGGCCCACAAGTCATTGGCCAAAAGGACCGAAGCGAAGACTCTTTTTCATCTCTAAACCATGTTCAAGGGGAAACACACAAGGGCAACAGGGCGGCCCTTCGAATTTGGGCGGAAGATGCCCCGTGCTGAAGCCGCTGGAGGTTCGCCCAAATAACAAAGGGGTGGAAAGCTCTGTCAATGCAAAGGAAAACCGCAACATTGTACGACCCTGATGGCAGTTCTGCGAAGGCTCGGCGAAGTTGTCTTGGGGTTTACGGAGTTCCGCAGACTAACATGTTCCGCTTCTTAGCATTGCCCTCCTGCTAACTGGCCAAAAAAGAGCTCCCCAAGAGGAGGTTCCTCTGCAATGATTGGTTTCGTGGGTTCGGCTCCATATTCATCTGCATTCAACAAAACGGCGCGTCCCCTCCTCAGCTGGCGGCGCCTGGCATCCGAATGAACAAACAAGCAAACACTTGGGGGTCCGGGCGGGGTTGCTAGACATGGGTGATGTTTTAGTGGTTGGACCCCGATTGATTTCCGTTTGCTTATCGTGAAGCTGAATGGTACCATCGAAAAGAAACCGCCGTGTGGGTATACGGTATACGTGTCTTGACTTCGAGGATCGCAAATGACATGCGGCCACCAACCAGTTGTTTAGCGTGCTTCCCATTCAAATGATGATACTTGTCAACACCAAGCAATCTCATCCACAAAACAAACACACATTAAGCAAAGCTTTGAATTGGCACTATAGCATGCTGGATTCAAAGGATACTGAGACCTGAACCCTGCCCGTAAGAAGCGGAAGATACATTTCCAGGGCGCTGTACTTGATAGGTCGGCTGCTTCCCTGCGAGAGTCATATATTACTATGCAATGAGAGGTGCTCGACGTTGGAGGCCTTTCTGCCCAATCTTGAAAGGTAAACAAGCAGGGCCAGCCAATCGGGTACTGACAGTGGGTTCTCAAAACATGGGGGACACTCTGTTGAATGGTTTAGAGGGAAACCCAAAGGAAACGAACCACCTTGAGGGCTCCCCACTTAGAAGCACATGCCCATCTTGGCTGCAAGGCATGGGCCCTGCCTGAGCCTTCGCGTAGCCGGAAGCTTCTGCCTCGCCAGTTGAGCCAACATCAAGGGATGCACAAAATCCTCCCTCCTGCATCTCTGCAGCTTCAAGTGGAATGTGCAATGTCTCAGGTTCGTGTACAGCTTGCTCCCATTCTTCAGGGTCTCAGCCCCAAAGGTCAAGGAACCAGGGATGATGTGAGGCTGGCACTCACGCGGTCCACATCGTGACAAATAACCCAAGCCCAACAGAAAAGGAAGTGTGCCACCAACGAACTGCAAGCATTTGGAATAGCTTGCTTCTGAGTCCTTCCAACCATCCTCGGTCGCGCGACCGCTTTTTAGCTCTGATCTCCAATGTCAGCAGCCCCGGCGCCGCAGCCGTGATCCGCGCGCGCAGAGTTCCACCAGCGTGGAGCCCTGGAGGCTATCCTGCGCGGGCGCGCGCCGCCCCGTAAGCCCTTCCATCCAAAAGGAGGCCTTTTCGAGGCTTTTCAATCGGAGACCCCCGAAAACGGGGAAAAAAACAACAGCGAACCAGCCGTTGGACTCCGAACTTGTCTCCTTGATGGTGTCCAGGTCGGTGCAAATCTGCTTCAGCAGCCTCAGATCATCGGGCCCACCCCCGCCTACTGGTTGGTCGTAAGTTTTGGTGCGGCCATGACGGGTAGTGTGATGCCTGACATGGGACGCTTGTCGACTGTGTGACCTTACCAGTTTTGTCTGGGTCGGGCTTGTCGATGCAGGCTTGGAGCAGCGCCATATGAGCACCTTTTCTCATATGTCGCTGCTCCAAGCCAGATGCATCGACAAGACTGACCCAGACAAAACTGGTAAGGTCACACAGTCGACAAGCGTCCCATGTCAGGCATCACGGTTGGCTGCTTGAAGTCGTTGGAACTCTTGAGGGCTCCCGCCCTTGTCGGGATGCACTCGCCGACGCAACAGCCTCCGCCCTTGCCTGAGATAAGTCAGCCATTGCGAAGCAGGGAGCTCGAAGATGCCCTCAATCTCCAACAGCTCCAAAGCCATGACGATAGGATCCGCGTGCTCCACAGGCAAAGGCGGCTGAGAATGCCCTTCTTCCTCCGAAGAATTGCATTCAATAATGGCGCCGTGTCGTCCTCAAAGACCTGTTCCTCCTTGGGCAGAAGGCTTGGATCTCCGTCCTCACAGTCCTGTTCCTCCTTGCTCGAGGTCATTGCCGTCGTCGTTCTCCAGGATGTCGCCAGCCCCCGCCAGCCGCCATGCCTTGCGTCTCCTGACTCTCCCTCCTCCAAGAATCCGGCCAAAGCCGCCTCCACGTCCTCTCCCGACGCCGACTCTTCTTTCAC